AAGAAAGAAATAGAAAGTTTCGCTTTAAGATGTTAGTGTATCCCGAAAGAGTAATAGTTAAATCTAGCTCGGGTTTCGGTAGTCGTGACTGAGAGGTCGATCGACCACATTGGGTATGAAAAAAGCCCAATGCGTAACGTACAGCAGTGGGGAATATTGGTCAATGGTCTAACGACTGAACCAGCAATTTGGAGGAATGAAAAACGAATAAGTCGTCTAAAGTTCTAGATAAAAAATTTATAATGACTAATTTTTATCTATAAGTCTTGACCAAATTACGTGCCAGCAGTCGCGGTAATACGTAGAAGACAAGTGTTATTCATCTTTAGCAGGTTTAAAGGGTACCTAGACGGAAAATCAAGCCTTAGTAGGGACTAATTTTCTAGAGTTTTATGTGTGAAGATCGAATTACCTGAAGAGCAATAAAATGCATTGACACAGGGAAGACGGGTAGCAGCGAAGGCAATCTTCTATGTAGAAACTGACGTTGAGGGACGAAGCCTTGGGGAGCGAGAAGGATTAGATACCCTAGTAGTCCTTGGAGAAAATTATGAGTGCCATAGACTAGAAACTAGTTTATAAATGAAAGTGTAAGCATTCCACCTCATGAGTAGAGCGGCAACGCCGAAATTGAAATCATTAGACCGTATCTGAAACCAGTAGTGAAGTATGTTATTTAATTCGATGGTCCGCGAATAACCTTACCACCTCTTGAATATTTTTACAAGCGCTGCACGGCTGTCTTCAGTTAATGTCGTGAGATTTTGGTTTGTTCCATTAATTAACGAAAACCCATGTTTTATTTTTTATATATAAAGCAGTTCACCGTTATATTGGATAAGATAAACGGGATCAAGACAAGTCATCATGGCCTTAATGAGTGTGGGCTATAGACGTGCCACATATGCCTCTACAAAGGGAAGCGATATTGTGAAATGGAGCTAATCCTCAAAATTGGACATAACTATTCGTGAATTGTAGTCTGAAACTCGACTGCATGAATATGGAATTACTAGTAATCGTGAATCACCACGTCACGGTGAATTTAATCTCAGATGGGTACTAACTACTCGTCAGGCGCTGAAAGGGGTATGCGCAATAAGTTTGGTTGCAAGTTGATGGTAATTATACTTAAGTAGTTGTGTAATATTTGGTTTGTAATTTTCGTATGCGTGATCTCAATTGGTGTTAAGTCGAAATATGGTTCGTGTAATGGAAATTGCACGGGATTTATTATCCTTAAAAACAAATGCAATTAAATATTCTATTTTTCTACTTTAAATTAAACTTAAAGTTTAAAAAAGAAAAATTGGGACGTTTAAAAGGCTAAATTAATATATCTTAAAAACAGACCCTACCCATTGTACGAAAGGAATTGGGTAGGTGGAGCATTTATTCTTTTAATTTTAACGGAATAAATTCTAAAAAAGGGGAGTATGCGATGGGGCCCCATCGTAGGGAGTGTTAAACAAAGAGTACCTGAAAGGTAACCGGATCCTAAAGGCTCTTTGTTTTTTGCAGGGCAAAAAAAAACACACTTAAGTGTTCCCTCATTATCTAAAGCAGAATATCTAAAGCAGAAATTATTTATTTAGCTGATATGAGGGTTAATTCGAGTGCTGGAATTGGTAGACAGGATAATCTTAAGATTTATTGATAAATATCGTAAACGTTCAAGTCGTTTCTCGAATACTCGCATTTAACTTACAGTTGGTTCTCTTTCATCCTTTACAGGATAAATTAAAAATAATATATGTTAAGCTAAATCAAAAATAACAAAAATCCATGAAAATAACATTTCCTTTATGAACAAATAGTCCGTTAGATCAATTTACAATAAGAATCTATATGCGTAAAAAAAAAAATAACGCAGATATTAAATAATTTAAATGATGAAAAGTACAGCACCCTTTTACATAATAACGTATTTTTTTCAAATACATTAATAACGTATGAAATAAGTATTTCAGAAACGATTGAGTTTAAACTTGATACATAATAAACTAATAAATAGAAAAATCATGTCAAAAATCTTAACATTAACATACTTGACCCTAAATCTTTTTAAGGAGATAAATATTGAAAAAGGATCACAAATAAGTGAACAATTGGCTACAAACACTAGAACAAAATTTAAACATTTTCCATCTTCAGTTAGAGAATGAAATAATAGTATATACGTATATAATAAAAATACTTTAAATTTAATACCTAGTACCACTGTTTCTGCTATGAAAATAATAAAAATTTTTTAACCTGAACAATAGGAACAGTAATCTTCATATTAATGATGGCAACCGCCTTTTTGGGTTTACCTTACAATTTTGCACCCACATCTTATTTCCTGTTAACTTTTTATATAAGTTTTACAATAATTATTGGTGTAACAATCTTAGGATTTCAAATACATGCGCTTAAATTATCCTCCTTGTTAGTACCCTCTGGCTGTCCTTTAGGCTTATTACCCTTATTAGTATTAATAGAGTTTATTTATTACTTATTTAGAAATGTGTCTCTTGCAGCAAATAGAGCATTTTGAAGAACATATATTGATTTGCACACTAAAGATCCATTAATACGAATTCTTTGATTGAGATTCGCGTTTATGTTTATATGTATAATATCAGATATATGCTTAAAAGAAAATAAATCAGTAGTATTGTTAGTTATTAAGCAACATTACAGATGAATCAGGTTATATGGGTGACACCGAGCCCGTAAGTGAACAATCCGACTCCAGTAGTGAGAGTGGTTATGAGAACGTAAGTGGTAATGGTGGTACAGGTGCTACAGGTGGTACAGGTGGTACAGGTGGTACACCTGGTAATGGTGGTACACCTGGTAATGGTGAAGCGGCTGTCGCTTCACGTGAAACTACTCCTCAACCTCCAACAAATTCAAATGAGTCCAATAGTGACTCCGGGTTTTCTGAGGGGCATATAGTAAACACCCGGTGTACCTGTGCGGGTCATTCTAGACATATGCTGATAGCTGTGGTTGCACACACAATAACATTTCACCACGGAACGATAGTGTACATGGTATACGTCGTTGTTGTAATCTGGGTTGTACTAGATATAATCCAAATAGACAATGTAATGATTGTGGCTGTGCTTTTTGTCTTGCTTGTCGAGTGTTTATTGACTCTTTACCTGTTTATCAGGCAATAGCACGAGATAGAGCGATTTATGGATACCCTTCTTCCTCTAGTGATGATAGCTAGTATACATTTAACGCCAAAGGTAAAAAAAAAGGGTAAAAAAAAAAAAGGGGGTATAGTTTAACTGGTAAAACAACGAACTTGCACTTCGTAATTTTAGGCTCAATTCCTAATATCTCCAGATTAGGCTAAAAGTCTAATTTAATCTTTAGCCAAAAACAAAAACTATATATTCAATTTTTCCCTTATTTTTTTAAAGCAGGTTTTTTACTCAATTGCGCGATTATATGGAAAAATTAGAGGTAGATATGTTTTCATGTGACAAAAAACGATCAAAAATTTTTACGTTTGTAATATTGTACGCGATAAATTGCAATGTTGTTTTAAACGAATGGTTATATCTGTAAAACATTTGACGCCTAATAGTAAGGAATGTTGTATAGTTAGACCTTTTGTTGAAAAAGGCTAACAAACGCAGCTAAAAACAAAATATTTTTGTGGTGTTTTTTTCATTCAAATTGGAAACTTTTTTCTCAAGCTTAGACTGAACTTCTTGGTTCGTGCTCGGCCATGTGACGAAAAAGAAAGTCGATCTCTTTTGCATGATCGCGTAGGTGAAACACACAAGGAACAGTGTATTGTTTTGCCACTTTTCTTATAGTGGAGCTCGTGCGAATAATGGTTTCCACCTTTGAATATTTCATTGTGGCAAATGCAATATTATAGCTATTTAATCACCGGTACATACATACCTTTTTTTTGGTAAAAGTCACAGGCTAGATTAAAAATATAATGGCACTTAAAAGCTCCAAACCCGTAAAAGTTGCCGATATATAAACTATTTGTAAATAAAGCAATGGCTATATTTAAAGATGGGCTTATCAACCCTGCGTAGATCTAAAGCATAAGATTTTTTATATTGTAAAATTAATATCATAAAATTAATACTTAAAAAGATTATTTTACTTTATATTTACAATATTTAAAACACAAACATAAGCTCGAGAAGCTCAACTTGGTAGAGCGGAACACTGAAGATGTTTAGGCTGTAAGTTCAAATCTTACCTCGAGCACATAGAATAGGTGTGCTGAAAATTGGTAACCAGGTTCCGCTTAGGACGGAATAGTTTTTACTTTGCAAGTTCAAGTCTTGTCACCTATAACTAAGAAAGCCGTTATTTCAAAAGTGCGAGCGAGAAAAAGAGTAACAAAAACTTGGTCATATGTTGTCGACTAATCGGTAAGTCATAAATTTTTGGTATTTACTATTGAGTGTTCGAATCGCTCCAACATAAAAGTTTTTTATTATAAGTAGAATTGCGTGATGGGAAAGGGTAGTTTAATTGGTAGAACGTGGTGCTACGGACACTTTAATACAAGTTCAATTCTTGTCCTTTTCTCCAAAAAGGAATAAGCTGCAAAAGGTTTGCATTTTGATTGCAGATCAACAATTAGAAGTTCGATTCTTCCTTATTCCTAAGTAAAAATGATATTAATTTATAAAAAAATTAAGCCTTTATAGCTCAAAGGTAGAGCAAAATACTGTTAATATTTCGGTTAGGTGTTCGAGTCATCTTAAAGGCGTAAAAACACTACTACGCTCGTGTTTAGTACGGAGAGATTTTAGTTTAATGGGTAAAACATGCGACTTTTAATCGTTATAATGTGGGTTCAAGTCCCACAGATCTTATATATAAATAAACAGTAATTATAGAACTTTATGCAATATTAAAGTTATAAAGGCTATAGCTTAATCGGTAGAGCCAGCTGCTCATGACAGCTTAGATGAGTGTTCAAATCATTCTAGCCTTAAAAAATGTATGAAAAACATACGTAAATAGCCAAGATAGTTCAACTGGTTAGAACATTAATTTCATGCGTTAATAGTGTGGGTTCAACTCCCTCTCTTGGTAGGCCTAAGGGCCAAAAATATGATAGCAAAAGTAAATCTTTGTAGCTACTAATAACATATTCATTATTTATTTTTTTAAGCATTGGCTCAAGTTAGTGTAACCGATTAAATTGTATTTACAATTTAACTTTTGCACATTAAATCGGTGCGAATTTAAACTAACTTTTAAACACTTATTACAAATACAACAAGTACCTACACTGTGTGGGATAAAACAGAGCTTTAAGCGAAACTAATCTTATTTACATCACAGGGCTGAAAGCCAATTAAATAAGACAAGAAACTAGGGTGCAAGTACCACTTAAAACATTAGTACTTAAAATATGAACCTGTAAATATAATATATGATACATTATTCTATTTACCTTTATATAATATCTAAAGGTATAAATGTATATATTTTATAAAATGTATACAAGAGATAATTGTGTTTATCAGTAATAGCAGGGAATAAATAAAAAATCCAATATGCAGACGATGGTTGTATAAAATAGAGTTAATTAAGTATGCCTCAACTTATACCTTTTTTTTTCGTTAATCAAGTAATATTTAATTTTTTACTTTTAACTGTAATAATCTATA